GTTAGAACAGGCCGAAGTGGCTTCAACAGGATGCCACCTCTGTGCTCAGTGAACATCCTGCAAGTCCTTCTATTGGACTTTTCCATATTTGCCATCCAGGTCAGCCTGACCTTAATGCAGAATGAAATAAATGATGGCAGCCATTCATAGAGGCTGTGGCCTGGCCAGACAGAAAGAAGGTTGGTGGTGGGAAGCTGTGTATCAAAGGTGTGACTCTGGCTTTTGCCGGGAGTCTACAGTGCGCTGCTTTTGCTTTTCTGTATCTCTCCCTTGTGCCACATCATGTGTGTGCAGTCAAATCAGTTGTGGGAAAGCCCCGATGGCATAGAGAGCGTCTGCCCAGTGCAGGTCTGTCACGATGGCCTAGAGTGTCACGAAGTCTGAAAAACAGCACCAACAAAAGATGCCTAACAGCTGAACAAGAGTAGGTAGAGAAGATGCTTTTTGTCACATTGTGTCCCAGTGTCACACGGTCCCCAACCACACACTCTGGCCCACTCCCTTTCCCAACACAGTTCCCTGCTGCCTGCCACCAAAACCTGAGAGGTTTCCAAATGGGAAGCACTTGAGGATGCACCCAACAGATCAGATGCAACTGCCCAGTACCGCTGTCCTCTGTCTACTGGACAGAAGCTGAAACCTGGCAGAGCACCTTGGGCAAAGCACTGCCATCTTTGCTATGGGCAACCCTGAAATCCTAGAGGAAATGGGGCTGAAGCTTCTCTAGTTTCAAGTTTTGTTTTGCTTACTGATTTCACTTTCAGAACTGTTCTAAGTGCCCAGCAAAACTGAGAGAGAAGTTCAGAGATGTCCCATACTGCCCTGAGGTTTCATTTTTTATTGGTTCAAATGTGAGATCCTCATGCCTCAGTTTCCAAGAGTATTGGCACTTCAGACATGATCCACAGTGCCCAGTCAGCCTAGCTCCTCCATTCCTGAAAGAAGCTAGGTTTTACTGGGGGTGAGTCTCAGTGGCTGCTCCCCCTACTGCAAAGGGGAGAAAAGCCAGGATCCTACCCAGGGGCGCTGCTTTTCAGCAGGGCTGGGGTAATCCTGCGAATTCCCTCTGCTGCCTAAATGTTTCACATCTCTCTCTCTCTCCTTAACATGTAGCTTTCTCCTCTGGTACAGAGGAGAGAAAGAAAGTGACATGTGCTCTGGGTTCAACAGATGGCTTTTATACAATTTTTCTTTCATAGGTAAGATATTAGCTTTCTAATGACAGGCACAGAAATTCTATTTGATTTCCAAAGACTTTCATTATGACAAATTTAAAAATTGTGGTTACGTTGCAATGAAATTTCATGAAAGTGGCCCTAACTGTCCCATATCTACTCAGTTTCCTTCAAAGTAATTTAAGAAAGCATAGAATAGAATATTCACTTCTGAGTTTCGTAATAATAAATGCTGTGGAACTCACTCTAATGGCTAAGAAACTCATAGTTCTTTCCTTAATTTTACATTTTCTCTTACATACCTCGAAGTTCCAATCAGTAAGATTACGTATTTCTCTCAATCTTTTGCTTGTTGTGGTCACCTAGTGCTAAAACAGGTTGCAAAATCGAGTGACGCTTAAAATTGAGTGACCTCCCCACTTTTGTTGTTCAGATGCTGAAGAGAATGATAGTCAGTGACCACTGGCAGTAGATGCCAGCTTGGTGCTGGCCAGGCACTTTTGGCCACTTCCCTCCACCTGGGTGGGCTCTAGCTCTTCTCCATCTCTTTCCTAGGGCTGTGCTCCTCAAGGGACAAGCACCCCTAGAACTGTTCTGATGACTTTTCTTTATATTAAATAGATCACCTGGTTTTCTGACGATTTTTCTAGTTAGAAATCTATGTATCTCTTAACAGGGAAGGTGAAATAAATCTGATGCACAAATCACAGGGTTGCTCTTAAACATCACATGTTTGTCTACTATGAAAAGTCAAAGGATAAACAAATTAAAGTGAAAAATAAAACATTCATCACTGGAAGCAGGAAGATAGATCTTTTGCAAATGGGAAAGGGACCAAGAGAGGGAGGAGTGAAAAGGGAAAGGAGGGGAAGGGGATTTAGAGAGAATTAGGGTACATTATGTACATGGACCATCTCTCCCCATGCATGCCAGTAGATCACTATGCACTATAAATATATACTAATAAAAAATAAAGACAAAAATAAACAATTCTGGGTTTTAAGAATTGCCTGGGATCCTTATTTGAGATTACAAAAAAACAAAGTTTTATAAGTGGCCAGAATGATTGTCTGGTAACGCTGTCATCCTTGATGACAGTGAACACCCACTCTTAGATTCAACAGATCTGTCTTTCTTCACTGCCTTGCCTGCCTGGACACAGGGCAGTGCCATTCTGGTTGTAGTTCAGGGTCAAATCAGTCACCAGTACGGCTTCAGTCAGACACATTACATGAAAAGATCTTCATTAAGTATTTTGTTTTTTACTTCAGGTGCCTACCAAGCCCCGGGAATTCAACGAAAGGCTCATGGGCGCCGTGATGATGCTTCTGTCTCCAGAAAACAGGAGTAGAGCTCACTGCAACTGGTCAGAAGCCCAGGAGGAAGATTCTCCTTCAGGGCCCTGAGAGCCACCGACAATCTGGACATGTGTAAGAATTCCTATTGCTAGGCAAGGAGATTAACAGCATTAAACGGCATGAGCGCTTGGTACCGGGAATCAGACTCAGGATCTTACACTTGCAAAGCAGGCACCATGCACTGAGCTGTATCACTATATTTTGAAAAATGGAAACTGTCCCACCAGGTTAACAAATTGCTGTGTGTGATGTAAGAACATATTTTGTCTCTCTGTTCTGGAAATTTGCCCCAGAAACTGCTTTCCTTGAGAGTTGAAGCATTTTAGGTGAAATAGTTAAAACTAAGAAGGATAAAGCAAAACAGAACACATAAAATCTTCCTGAGATCCTAGGGCAGTGGTGCTGAGCCCACGGCACACAAGCATACAGGTTACTTGTTTTTGTTTGAAGACCCAAGATTTTCATGTATGAGTTGTTTTTCCTTAACCAAAACTTCATTATGCAGGTTAGTGTCAGAATTGGCACTCTGTTAACTAAGCGGGCTTGGGTTACAGTCTGAGCTCTTGTCTCTCAAATGCTTGCCACCCCTGTCCCAGGTCAATGTTCTGGTCAGGATCACGTGTAGTATTTGGAAAACTGGTTGTGTTAAAGCAGTGCTCTACCAATTAGATAATTTTTTCACCTTTTTGGATCCAATGCTTTTTTCTCTTTATGTATTTGATACGGGGTCTCACGACACAGCTCAGACTCAGAGTGATCCGCCTGTTTTCAGCCTCCCCAGCACTGGGATTACAGGTCTGCACTACCATACCTGAGTGGTAGTCTCAGTGACTGGCTCAGTGCACCTGGGGCCGGGGCCAGAGCTGCACATGGATTGAAACTTAGGCAAGCTTGCCTAAGCAGGGGCTCAGTCCTCTGAGATATCTCACCAGCCCTCTGATGCCTGTAAGTGCCATTAAGTACAATTCATTTGGAATGTCTTTAATCACATAAGGTATCAGGTCCTCTTAGTGAGACTGTGTTGTTTATTCTGTGTCCTTTTCCTTCTACTTCTCTTATACTCAAAAGTTATTCAAAATGGCTATGTTTAGTTATAAATGCATTTCACTGTTTAAATGAAGACATAGGAAGTTCTTAATGATGATTGAGTTCTCCTCGAGAGAAGCTATTATGTTTGTTGCTATCTCACCTCTTCATAAATCAAATACTGTGCGTACTAAGGCTTGTAAAAAACACTAGTGCACACTGTCTCTCATTACAAAAATGCAATTATTCTGCTCAATTATGTTTTTAAAATAGTCTGACATTTAAAATAATTGATGAATATGTAATTTGCTAATCAGTAATGGCCAGTTCCCGTAGAGGTACCATCATTAGTTTTATAATTTACTGTTTCCGAAATTTTATGAATATAAGATTACAGCTGGGAATCAGAGAGAAGCCACTTCAAGATGACATTATCCTATTTAACACCCATAATACTTAACAGCTACAACAATTAAGCCTCACAAATTAAGTCAACGTATTGAATTCCTATTGGGTGAGTCGCAGATAAGACATTTGTGTGTAGTGGCTTTTCTCACACTAGGTTTCCATTCACAATCATGCACCCAAATGAACATCAAAGAAGCATATTGTGTGGTGAAGGATTAAATAATGTTTTAGCTTATGCCTTTATTTCTTGTCTCCCTCCTCCAAGTGATAAGACAGATCTCATTTACCATGCATGAACACTTATATTCCCTTTCGAGAACATTCTGATATTGTTGGTGTAAGAGACAAAAGTCATTTATTTATAGAGCGCCTTATTAATCTACAGTTTTTGGTAAGTGTTTAGATCGTCTGGTCAGCTTGCCTCTGTGGCTTGCAAAGGAAAACTAGCTGCCATCTTCAATCCAAATGAATTGGTATATGAATATTTATAAGGACATTAATATTCAGTGTCTTACAATCATGCTCCAAGCTAAATAAAAATAAATGTAAACTGCCATAAATATTACAGTATGAAGAGATGAGTGCTAAAAGATATATACAGATTCATTGACAATATCTATGCAAGTACTGTGGACAAAACATTTAAAAAGAAAGTTACATAAAACAAAGTAGATAAATTTATCAAATATTGATAAATTTTCAGACAGTATAAAACTACACAAAACATGAAAAGAGAGAAAGAAGTTTCAAAAATAATCACTATGCCAATACATATAGTACATGTTTACTACATTAATATTACAGATTGATGAAAATCAGAGACAAGAATGATTTGGTAACAAACAGCAAAGGAAATTTCACCAATCACAAGGAAGAAAGACATTCCTTTAAAACGCATCCCCGCCCATACACACATAGGAAAAGAAAATCAAGGTAGAAAGTTGTCTACAGCAACACAGGACAGACAGAGGTGGGAAGCATTTGGATGTTGCACCACAGGAAGTCAATCACGACTGGCTAACGATGAGGGTACCTGGCTCTGTTGCAGGTCACTGGCTTGCCTGAGAGGGGTCACTGATGGAGGAGGCACACCTGATGTAGATGCAGACCGGCCTAACTTGCAGCTTACTTTAGGTTCTGTGAAGAAGGGGGAAAGATAAAACATTAACTGAGCAACATCGGCAGTGATGAAATGGCTCGTTCAGCCTTCCTTTTATTTGCTATAGGTTCCGGAAACACACAAAACATTTCCGTTGTTTGCTAGTGCATGGCGGGTGATTAAACACTTCCATTGTAATTTGCTCTAAAAGGAGCTTTATTCACAGATCACCTCCTGAGGGATGAAGAGAAAATATCCAAAAGAAGCACATTGTTTCTTTGCATGTTTTTCCCCCATGAGGGTTGATTTCTAGAAGTGATTATTGAAGCAACACACCCTTGCGGGGGGGAGCAAACAACCTCATTGTGTTTGAACTCTCATTTCCAGCTTTGGTCCACAGGACTCTTACATCCTAACATGCCTCATCTATTCTAAATCAATTTTTCTTTATTTTTCCTCTCCCTCCCTGATTCTGTTATAGTGTCTAGATGTCCCCATAAACCCTCATGAGGTCATAGTTTTTTGTTTGTTTGTTTGTTTGTTTGTTTGTTTGTTTTTTCCTGAGGTGGCTGTGTCTAGAGTATGTGATTGATTTGTATTGCAGTGCTGGGATTAGGGGTGCTGGGATTAAGTGTGTGTGATTGCTGGACTGGTCCACTGATAGGATTAGCACCACCCTAATCCCAGCAGAACAGATACAATATGAGGGTCACAAAGAGACTCATCTTGCTCTCTCATTGCATTTGCTGTCTTCTGCTGCCTTGACCTATTGCCTTGGTCATGCCTCACCCTGCCTTGGAGCCAGTGATTATGGACTGAAATCTCTGCAAACTGTGAGCTAAATAAACCTTTTCCCATTTAACTTTGGTGTTCAGTATTCCATCTCAGCAATAAGAGAAAATTAGCTAAGGCACCCCTCATTCCTTCCTTTTTGCATTCTTTTCTAGACTATTCTCAATATAGCATTTTTTCAATGTTACTCTCCTCTTACTTTAATCTTATCATTATTTTTCTAAGGCCTTTGAAATCTTTCCGAGACATTTTTCCTATCTATGATATTC